GTTATTTTTATTATGACAGAATATGTAAACATAAAGTCAAGAAAAAATTAATAAATATCTCAGTCACTCAAGCAAAAATGTCAGACATGTATTGTTTTTGTACCCTAAAGAATTGTGGCATGGTCAGGCAGAAGGTAAAACAGCACAGAAGTAACTGTATAAGTACCTCAGTTGACAAAGTTGTGGCATTTTAGCAGCCCTCACACGAGAAGAAAAGAGCAGAAGCATAACAACTTTGCACTCAATTGAGCAAGAAAATGGGAATGGGCATTATTTCTTGTGAGTTGAAGAGAAATACTGGTTTTTGTTTGTTTGTTTGTTTTTTACTTGATTGAAAGATTGAGGTTTGAAAGCACAGATGGCTAAATTTGTTTAAGATTCTGAGTCCATTCAGTTTTTTGCCACTGTTATATAATGCATGTTTCCAAATTAAACCAATCATATTTTCCCATTCCTGTGAATTCTAGGATAGCACATATCATACTCACTCTTATATCTTAGCTATTTATGCACATCTGAAGTTCTTGGTAAAATTATAAGCTCCTGGGAAACAAGGGCATTTCATCTGCTTATTGTGTGCCCTACAACACTTAAAGCAATGTTGTGCACAGTTTGGGTTCTCTTTAAATATTTAGCACATCAGTAGACTTCGCAACAAATGGGATATTCACAATGAAGAAATAATACTATAGTCCATTTTGGAGCTCAAAAACTCCAACGAATGTAGTTGACTTGAGATATATGTATGCATTTTGTGGTGCTTTGTTTATAGAAAAAGTAAAACATGAAATTAAAGAAGAAACTACACAAATATCTTTGCTACTTTTTCAGAGACTTAACAACAATAACAACTACATCTACAACAACATTTGGCTGAATGCGGTGGCTCACGGTAGTAATCCCAGCACTTTGAGAAGCCAAGGCAGGAGGATCACTCGAGGCCAGGAGTTTGAGACAAGTCTGGGCAACACAGCAAGACCCCCATCTCTACAAACTGTTTTTTAAAAAGTTAGCTGGGCATGGTGGTGCCTGCTTATAGGCTTAGCTACCTGGGAGGCTGAGGGCGTTGGATTGCTTTAGCTCAGGTGTTTAAGGTTACAGGGAGCTATGATCATGCCACTTGCATTCCAGCCTGGGTGACAAAGTAAGACTCAGTCTCTAAAATTAAATTAAATTAAAATTAAAAAAAACCCAAAACACTGTCTATCCCCTGCAAAGTTTTACAATACTGATATAATTATTTAGTTTTAATCAGGTTTGCCAGTTTCTGTCAGGTGCTGCAAAAGCAACATTTAAATAGAATATGGCTAGATGGACTACTTTCATATGTGCAAATGCTGCAGGTTTTCCCAAAATAACCTGTTAGAAATTTCATTGCTATTTTAAGACTTACAGAACACTGCCTAATATATGGATGATCAAATTCTCTTTTTCTAAAGGCAAAATCAATACATTCTGTGATCTAGAAAAGATGATTTTGAAAACTAAGAGCAGAACAGCAACATAGAGGGAGAGGTGCATATGTGTTTGTTCTGCATCTTAATTTTAAAACTATTATTTGGGCCAAAAGCAGCGGCTCAGGCCTGTAATCCCAGCACTTTGGGAGACCGAGGCAGGTGGATCACCTGAGGTCGGGAGTTCGAGACCAGCTTGACCAACATGGAGAAACCCTGTCTCTACTAAAAATATAAAATTAGCTGAGCATAGTGGCACATGCCTGTAATCCCAACTACTCTGCAGGCTGAGGCAGGAGAATTGCTTCCACCTAGGAGGCAGAGGCTACAGTGAGCAGAGGTTGCGCCATTGCACTCTAGCCTGGGCAACAAGAGCGAAACTCCATCTCAAAATAAAAAAAATAAAATAAAATAAAATAAAATAATAAAACTATTATTTGGAGATAAATCTTATCTTTAATTTCATAATCTACTTTGCATGAAGGCATTTGTATTAAAAGATCCTATATGTATTTAGTTTCTAAAAAATTAAATGCAGTATTTGATACTAATACTTTAAAGATTTCACCTTATACGTTTAAATCTACCATATGAACTTGATCAAATATTTTGTAATCTACATATTGCTATACAAAGGATTAGATATTCTATACAGTCTTGTGTCATTTACAATTTAGTCAATATGCTTTTTTCACAAATCATCAGAAAAATGCAAATAAAAAAACCACAATGAGATACCACCTTACCCCAGCCGCAATGGCCAATATTAAAAAGCTAAAAAAGTAGATAGTGGCATAGATATAGTGAAAAGGGAATGCTTATATCCTGTTGGTGGGAATGTAAATTAGTACCACCTGTATGGAAAACAGTATGGAGATTCCTAAAAGAACTAACGGTAAATATAATTCAATACAGCAATCCCACTACTGTGTGGATACTCAAAGAAAAATAAATCTAAATAAAGTAATGAAATACCTTTGTCCTTAATCGTTGATAAAATCTTCAGTATTGGAAGTGAAGTTATATATGTTCTGGATGTTATCATTTTAGTTATTTTACATTTGAAAGAAACATTTTAAATATTTCTTTTAAATTTTACTAGTGGTAAATTTTTTCTTGTTGTTGTTTGTTTCTGGGTTTTTTTTTTTTTTTTTTTTTTGAGACGGAGTATCGCTCTGTCGTCCGGGCTAGAGTGCAGTCGCATGATCTCGGCTCACTGAAAACACCGGCTCACTGAAAACCCCGGCTCACTGAAAACTCCGCCTCCCGGGTTCACACCATTCTCCTGCCTCCGCCTCCGGAGTAGCTGGGACTACAGGCGCCCGCCACCACGCCTGGCTAATATTTTTGTATTTTTTTTAGTAGAGACGGAGTTTCACCGCGTTAGCCAGGATGGTCGCGATTTCCTGACCTCGTGATCCGCCCGCCTCGGCCTCCCAAAGTGCTGGGATTACAGGCATAAGCCACCACGCCCGGCCAGTACATTGCTTTAATTAAATCATGTAAATTACTGTAAAGTTTTGTTTTCTTCATATCTCTTAACATTTATATATTTGAGTGTTTATAAAATGTATAAACGTTTATATATTTGAGAGTTTTGAAAATTTATAATTAAAAAAATGTGATATTAAATTTTTGTATGAGAATATATCTTGTTATCATATACATTCATTCCATAAAATTAGGTATATGTAAGTAATCCCCGTTGTTTGAAATTACATAATGCTATCCTTTGCTTGAAGTTGTGATATTCCTAACCTTCTAAATTGTCATATGAAACATGAATACACACACACACACACACACACACGATCTCAACGGAAAAAAAAATATTTTCTATACACATTCCAGTTCATTTTTAGATTTGTTAGTGTGTAAACATTTTCAATTATAGGACAGAAAAGATTCCTCTTCCAAAAAGTGAGGTACATGTTGACATGTATGTCATCATTTGTGAATCATCAATCATCATTCATGATTGAGAAACCATTCTGTATTCTCACATAATTAGGTTTAGATACTGAAATATTTTAGTCCTGTTATAAGATGTGCAAAGATATTTTAAATAGCATTATATTCTCAGAAATAAGATTATGTAGATTTAACACTTCTTAATAATTATCTATTTCTATTTACCCATTAATTTCAATGATTAAATATCTTTCAAGATTCTCAAAATAGAAAACTTGTAACACACGATAAGAAAATGACATATTTTTAAACCAACCCTCCTCTATTTCTGGATACTTGAGGTCACTATTTCTTCTACCTTATAATCCACTCATTCAGAAATATCTTAAATTTCCAAGGGAGACATCCAAGGCTTGTTTGCTTTTGCAAGGTTTCCAGGCAGCTAAGAGTCAAGGAATTCAAAGTAGTACACAGAGCAGGAGAAATTAACTTACAGAGATGGATATAATTTGGGGCATGCACACAGGGGCCTGACTGATTTTAAATGTACAGAATTATCTACGTCACGTTTCATAATGTCTTCTTTATTGTACTACATATGGAAATGCCAATAAAAACTATTAAGCTAAAAAATACTTTATGAAAGTTGTAAAATGTTAGTTTGCATTGCATTTCAATAAAAAATTATGGCTAATTCAAAACTCTGTTCATTACCTCTCTCTTTTTCGAGTTCAGTTCCTGCATCACTCCCTAAAAAGTCCTGTGGGCATCTGAAAGATTGGTTCCTATATATACACACACACACATATATATATGTGTGTGTGTATATATATGTGTGTGTGTATATATATGTGTGTGTGTATATATATATAGAGAGAGAGAGAGACATTGAGGCTAAGAGGAAACCACTCCTAAGTTGTGGTATGACTGTTTTCATACTGAGAAATAGCACATATTTTATCTATAGTGAAATTCATAAGAATGCAGAAATAAAAGTGTTAACTCTACTAATAAACAGGAAAAACTATTCTGCTAATTTTTTAAATTAGGTGAGAAGTGACAAAATATTTTTGAAAAGAAGTAACTCCAATGAAACATAAAGAATATATGATTTTTTAGGGTAGTTAGTAAGAAAACATGCTTTCTTTTCCAAAAAGTGTTTTTTCAAACAATATTTTCTAAATCTTTTAAATTTAGTTATCACTATATTCTTGCTCTCAGGGGGTCTACACAGCAGTTGTAAAGATAGGACAGCTCTCAAATTTATGTAAAACATGAATGAAAGGGAAGAAATTCAAAAGTAACCAAGTTTATCATAAAATGTCAAGATTACAGAATTGGGAATTTGAGAGCTAAATTCGTATTTTTAAAAAAAATATATTTTTGTACACCTTCTCTATAACTGTGTGATTCATGTATTCTAGAATTATGACCATAAAAGAGTAGCAAGTGAAGAATTCCAGAACATAAGAAATTAGTTACGGTATATTGATAAAATGTCAGCAATAGGTCATTTCTTAAAACACACAACATTTGATGCATTTTTAAAAACAAATGAAAAAATCAAGAAATGCCAAAATATAGAGAAAAGGGCAGTTTTGTATAATCATTTGATACAATAGTGCTTCATCTTACCTCTACTACCAGTTGCTGAAGAGATGGTGATGCTACAGGATGTAGACTAGAGTTCCCCCTTAAGGGACTGTGGATGCTAATATAAGCCACAACATTTTTCTGAAGAACCTTCTTGAAATCCTGAAATCAAAAAAAGGATCTATCTGTAACACAAATAAATAGATTCTACTTTATTAGTTAGATACTGAATAATGAACAATTCATACCTAAAATTATTATACTGCATAATTACCTTCTTTTTTGTTATTTATTTATTATTTATTTATTTATTTTTGAGCCAGAGTCTGGCGCTGTCGCCCAGGCTGGAGTGCAGTGGTGTCCTCTCCGCTCGCTGCAAGCTCCGCCTCCCGGGTTCACGCCATTCTCCTGGCTCAGCCTACCAAGTAGCTGGGACTACAGGCGCCCGCCACCACGCCCAGCTAATTTTTTGTATTTTTAGTAGAGACGGGGTTTCACCGTGTTAGCCAGGATGGTCTCCATCTCCTGACCTCGTGATCCGCCCGTCTCGGCCTCTCAAAGTGCTGGGATTAAAGACATGAGCCACTGCGCTTGGCCATAAGTACCTTCAAAGTGATCCTATACTATTAATGGTGTACACAAAGATTATAAAAAGGATTTTAAACAAGAATGATGAGTTAGACATAACATATAATAAAATATTTTAAAGCATGTTCCTGACAAAGTCAAATTTTAACAGAAAATGTTCTTCAAAGGTTAACGTAGTATGGATTCAACTACAGAGTATGAATGCAACTTAATTTTAGAGTCACTGAATGAGAGGAGAGGTATAGATACACCACTCCAGTGAGGAATAAAACCAGCCCTTCTCTTTTGAAGCAATGAGCTACTCTGCACAAAATAACCCTGTCTTATGAGCAAAATGGGGCATAATACAATGTAATCTTGCAAATATTACCTTAAAAAAAAAAAAAAAACCTGATGCATTTCATGCACACAAGCAGCACTGAATGATTCCATAGAATAGTTTTCCACTTCTCTTCTGCTCCTTACCGCACAAAATTGAAGACCACTGATCCTATTAAGAATGACCACTAAGTCTTTCTGTTATTTCCCTGCTTTTTTGTGCAAGCATTTAACAAATAATCATCATGGTGGGTGGCAGTTCTACAGAAATGTCCTAAAAGATTACATTATGTCATAACTTAGGAAAGTATCTTTCTTCTTCTAACACTATGAAATGAAAGACTACAAGGACTCGTACACCTGCCAAATTGATAATGTCATCCTGTTTTTTTTTTTATTGTAAATGGCTTAAAATTGTATAATTTTATGGAGTACAAAGTGATGTTATGATTTATGAATATAATATGGAATAATTAAATTAAGCTGGCTAACATATTCATCACCCCAAATAATTAACATTTTTTTGTGATGAGAACACATAAAATTTACTTAACAATTTTGAAATGTATAATACTCTATTACTAAGTATATTCACCACACCACACAATACATAATAGAAGTTGACCATTTTCTCCCCATTCCCTCCATACCCTAGGCCGAAACCACCATTCTACACTCTGTTACAGATGAGTAGATAAAGAAAATGTGTTATATATACACAATGGAATACAATTTAGCTTTGAAAAACAAGAAACTTCTCTCCTTTGTGATAACGTGGATGGAACTGGAGAATACAATGCTAACTAAAAGAAACCCGGGCCGGAAACATAAATCCTGCATATTTTCACTGTTATCCATATTTTATGTTGAAAATTCATAATTTCAACATATTGAAATTATGTTGAATTTCAATTCTGTAAGAGGGTGGAAAATACAATCATTTAAAATTAATAAACATCTTAGGTGCACATAAATGATGAATTTTAAGCTTGAGTAATTTCTCCATAATTATTGTTCAAGAATATGTTATTTAAGTGCTATGAAATATCAGCTTCTATTAGCACACTACCACACAGACACTGTCTATATGTTAGTCTATATAATTCTCATGAGAACCTCATAAGATAGGCATTAGTAGACTCATTGGAGGAATCAAGTCTTAGGGAAGTTAATCTTGCCTAAGATGGCATATTCTATGGTAAAGAGAATTTGAACTATGAATTATTTTACTCTAATATCTATAATATTTCCACAATAGCCTCTGACAAATGAAGATTCTTCACAGAAGAAATGGTACTTTTTAAAGTATAGAACCTATTTAGCAAAATGTTATAATTTTTCTCAAAGATCAAGATCAGTATTTAATCATTTCTCTAATAATTCTGTCTATGATTCCATTTTAAGTTTATTGATCAACATCACCTAATCCTCTTAACTACAACTGTGGGTTTCCAGAGGTTTCTATGCAAGCATAATTAAATGGGGCAATGTGATATGTCAATAAGGGCTTTCCTCACTCCCCTTCATAGGGGGATATATTTAAAGCATAATTAGTTTCAATCTAACATAAACTCTTTCATTCTCAGGAGTACATTTGACATGAGTAGACAAAACAGGACAACTAGCAATTTTCTAAATTTCTCTTCAACAGGATGTTTACAAAATGGCTTCATGAATTGCATTGAACAATCTCGTGAGACACAGTAAATTATAAAAATATATTCCATAAGCCCATAATCAAATGTGTATTATTTACCATGTTCATTACTCATATGTCTTTGCCCATCTAGTCACCTAAAATGCCAGTAAATGAATGTGTAATGAGTTGCCAAATGTAAATACATATATAAACATTCAAAGACACTGGTACTTGTCTTGAATACGAACAACCTTTGTAACAAAATTTTTTTCCTGTGAACTCCCACATTGTAGTTGCTGTATTTTTAGCATAATTGACTAAGAAAATATACAATTATTAAAAGGTGCAATGACTTCACAAAAACTTAAAAATGAATGTGTATTAACCACAAAAATATCAACTTACTTTGACAAAAACTATTGCTGACACACATGCAAGCCCACATTGATTCAACTTACAGGTTCTGACGCCTGATGCTCAACTAAATTTTACAATAAATTTTCCCATCCATCAGGGTTTCAGATGTTTACATCAGAAACTATTAATTTAGACAAGCCTAGCCTATTCTAAAACATAGTTCAGAAATATAGGTATTAATTTAGAATTAACATAAATTAATTGTGAAAGTTACTAGATAGGTATCTAGAAGACCTAAAATATAGTTTGATATAGCAAAATACATCTTTGGAATTTGAAAAGAATCTTTAAGACATTTTAAAGATATGTGCGTTAATGTTACAGGAAAACTAAAACATTAATTGTTTCTGATTTATTAAAAATGGTATAGATTACAAACATATTCCCTAAACTGTTCTTTAACTTGTTTACCAATCTTTAAAGTACTTTGGAATATGAGTTTGAGAGGTTGGTTCATCTATTTCATTTCCAGCTTACTTACAAATGTGTCAACTTAAAAAGATTCTTTAAGCAAAGGAATTTTTTCATTTGAAGTAGTTCTTTTGAATATGGCTCAAACATACACACCACTCATTTGCATACAGAAAAGCATTCCAATTTGCAATGTGTGAATCTGGATGAATTTTACACTGAAAAAAATTTTCTCATCTTTAAGTCTTTTCCTTCCTTCAAATTAAAAAAGATACTTGCTATGTTCTTTTCTATACCTTTTTAAATATTTTCTTTGATTTAATAGATATGTTATCATTTTTGGGTGATTAAAAATAAAAATGTAGCAAAATAATTTCCTATTACATTTTTCTCCTCACAGTTGAAGTAGTGAAAAAACTATAGTATTAAATTATCTTACTTTCCTAGTAAAATCATGTAGTGTTTTTTGTCTACATATATCTATTGAACCTCTTTTTTAAAACAAATCACAAAAGTAAATAGAATTTCTATCAATCCAATTATCAGTTATCATATTCTATTAAAAATACAGTGCATTTATGAGACACAGATCTGTCAGAAGCATTTGAGACTTAAATTCTCCAATATTTCAGTTGTATTCTAACTGTACCTCATTGCATGCTAGATTTCATTTGGATACAGGTTTCCTAAGGTGATTAGATAGGTAGGTAGGCAATAGATAGGCAGGTAAGAAACGAAAGGTAGGGAGTTAGGGTGAAAGGGTGGAGTGGAAGAAGGAGAAAAAAGTGGATTTTAAAATGTATTTTACATTCAGGATCCATATTGTATAGATAAAATGTAATGCAAAGGTAATAAACATTTAATATAGGAGATTGTTCCCTAATTCCAGATTATTCCTAGAAAGTGTAGAAAAAGAAAGATAATATGTATCGTCTGATCCTTTTTTGTCCAATGCCTGTCATCCTGTCTTCTAAAGAGAAATACAACAACAAGGTAAACACTATTGTGTGTTAGACTGTATCGGGGTTTGTAAGTCTGGTAACAATAGGGATAAGATATTTGAAGGTCATATGTAGTTTGCTGTGGTCTAGCTCTAATTCTGTCTTATTCTTATAAGCCATCTCAGCAAATTAGGCAATAGGACACTTTAGTTGACAAGCACATTATTGCCCTTGGCCTTGAAAAGTTTACTTTGTCTACTTTAGCAAACTAAGAAAAGAAAAGAAAAGCACTGTAATTAATGTATATTCTGCTTTACCTCTCCCCATTCATATGAGCCAATATTGCCAAAAGCTGTTCCTCCCCAAGAACAGAAAACAATAGTTCGGTCTGGTCTCCACCCTCTCTTAACTTTTGACATCAAGGCACGGATAAACGCTGTGATTATTGCAGTACTACTGGCCCATTCTTGTCCATTATAACTGTGTGCAGTGTGATGATGGCTGCCAACTATGATATACCGGTCTGAAAATAGAAAGGGACAAGAGCCATTTAAAAAAATGTAAACCTTAACAATAAGTTTAATGACATTTACATAATCCTACTGCACAACTGAGCAATAATTAAGCAAAATTGTTCTAATAATTAAGACTACTTTAATTTTTTTTGCCCACTGTCTTAATTCACACATCTGCATATATCAAAGCTGAGGCAGCTGCTGAACCCAATTATGAATCCAAAGCTTAGATCCATATTACTCTCCTTTATAACATGAATATTAATTAATGAAGCATACAAATAGGCCACAATGAAACCCTTATCTAACATTTTTCCAGACTCAGAGTGGGAAGTGCCCTGTAAACAATGTGTGTATGCTCAGTAAATATTAATAAACTAATACATATAAGAAAGCACTTATACAGTAGCTTTAAATATTAAAAATGTGGTAGTCATGTATGGATTCTGCAATAAATTAATTCCATAGGGAATTAATTACAGCTTCCAACTTATAATTGTAGGCCTTCTCCTTCCTGTGAAGAAAAAATAAAATAAAATTCACCAATATCAAAAGTCATTCAACTGTTATAAAAGTTGCCTTTTACATATTTTATTTCATACAATCATTTAAAATTTATTAGATACACTATTAGGAGAGCCTTCCTAACACATGGAAGTAGCCTATTCAATGTACATTACTGAATATTTTCGATAATAAGGCTGAAAATGCCCCTCGAGAGTTTCCTCTGATTTTGTTGTCAGTGAATGTTATTGGTAATAATAATAAATCTGAATTTATCTGACCAAGTATCCTCATATATCTATGCAAAAATTTTTCTTCATTGAATATCATTTTATTACCAGATGTCCCAAAACTGGATGATAAATTGTGTAGACCCTGAATCCAGCCTGCTTGGTTTAGAATTCAGGCTTTGCAAGTTACTAGTTGTGTGACCTTGGAAAGCTTATTTCAACTTTCGATGCCTTAGTATTTTCATCTCTAAGGTAGGAAAACAAACAGTACATCCTACATTTAGTTGTTTTGAATTTTAGGAGTCATTATTTTGTAAGCCACTTTGAACAATGCTCAACACAAAGGAGGTCTTACACATGTGTGGAATGAATGAATCACCCTTTGACTTATAACACCAAAAAGCTACCTTACAATAAATGTCACGGTATGAAGATATTTTAGTTTTCCACACAGGAATTGGCAATGGATTTGATCTGCCAACATTTTATTCAGATTTAATTAATGGGACTGGGCATGGTGGCTCACGCCTGTAATCCCAGCACTTTGGGAGGCTGAGGCAGGTGGATCACGAGGTCAGGAGTTCAAGACCAGCCTGGCCAAGATGGTGAAACCTCGTTTCTACTAAAAATACAAAAATTAGCCGGGTGTGGTGGTGGGCACCTGTAATTCCAGCTATTTGGGAGGCTGAGGCAGGGAATTGTTTGAACTTTGGAGGCAGAGGGTGCAGTGAGCCAAGATCATGCCACTGCACTACAGCCAGGTGACAGAGCGAGACTCGGTCTCAAAAAAAAAAAAAAAAGATTTAATTAATGGTATACATAGTGTGATAATGTGTCTACAAATGTTAAAAACCCAATAATTTATTCACTTATCTCCCATAAATGTCTCAAAGTTTTGCTTGGAATTGTCTGCATTCTAAATAAACCGTATCTAACAAACAAAGCTAATTGATGATTTTTTTCTAATCTTCAAGGTTATTAAATAAAATGTCATGTAAATAAACAGTCAATTTTTTGTAAAATTCAAATAAGCAACATTTCAGAAGCTTTGCATAATTCACTGAAGAATACTAATGGTAAAATTGATTTTTTAAATTTCAGGAGTATATTTAGTAGATAGAATTTTCTTCAGTCTAAAGCTAGTATAATTTGTACAACTGGGTTTTCCAATAACAACTTGTGAATGAATCAGTGATGATAAATATTCTAGTGCTTCAATAGAGAACCTTATGATGGAAATTTGTTGAAATTCAATAGTAACAATTTTCAAATTTATTTATATCTTGTATTTAAAGAACTATAATCAGAGGTTGTTCAACATTGTACCTGTAAAGAAATCAGAGAAAATAACTGGCTTTCATGAACTTTGTAAGAGTTGGCCAGCAAGAAACTGGGAGGCTATAAAACTTGATCTTAAAATTCTGAGCTAGCAACTAGGCCGATTTTACCAAAGTCATGAAGAAGAATAATTCTCCAAGGAGAACTTGTGTAAATGTCCCCAAATCAACAGAAGTAGCAAAAGTGTAATAAAAAGATTATTAAATGCTACACTGTATAACAGGCACATTAGGCAGTAATATGAGATTCAGTCTTACAATGTGTTTGGAAGTATTGCTATTAATCCCTTAATTAGCCTACATAATATCTGAAGATTCCTTTTTTTTTTTTTTTTTTTTTTGAGATGGAGTCTCTCTCTGTTGCCCAGGCTGGAGAGCAGTGGCACAATCTCTGCTAACTGCAACCTCCGCCTCCCAGGTTCAAGCGATTCTCCTGCCTCAGCCCCCTGAGTAACTGCAGGTGACCATTTGCAGACATTTGACAAATTTGACAATGGACCAAGGATACAGAGTGGGATGTAGATTAAAACTGGACAACTAAATTTGGAGACCAAAACTTGTATTTATAAAAAAACACATCATTAAAAACTAAAATCTTTCTTGGCCAGGCATGCTTGGCTCACCTCTGTAATCCCAGCACTTTGGGAGGTCAAGGAGGGTGGATCACATGAGGATAGGAGTGCAAGACCAGTCTGGCCAACATGGTGAAACCTGTCTCTACTAAAAATAAAAAATGAAAAATTAGCTGGGTGTGGTGGTGGGTGCCTGTAGTCTAAGCTACTCAAGAAGATGAGACACAAGAATCACTTGAACTCGGCAGGTGGAGGCTGCAGAGAGGGAAAAAAAAATCATTCTTTAAAATGTCTTCTTAATAAAAATAAAATGTTCTATGATGTTATGGTGAGTATAAGAAAAAAAGAAAACTTTGGCTTTTGTAGAACATGCCAGTTTACCAAATCTAAACTCTGTTTCTTGTTTCATCCCATCCTGAGACACCCCCACCTCTCTTTCTCTCTCCCCCCACTAAGATTTATTTTGCAAGAGATATGGTAGGAAAGAGAATGAAGACCCGCTTCTTAGTTTCAAATTTATCTACTCTAAGAGTGGGACAAATTTCTAGTTACATCTAAAGTAGGATATTTAAGTATGATATTAAATTATTACAGAGCATTTCCTTGTAAAGTTTCATAAAAAGTGTAGATTATAAATATTTAACCCTACTTACCTGGAGATGTCAAGCCCATTACGTATCCAACAACATTAGTAACTGTTTTCAATTTTGTCACCGTCTGAACTTGCATACTGACGACTCTTACTTCTGAAAAAAATAAAAATTTAAAGACTTTTGTTTCTTTATATTTTATTGTATTTTTTAAACCTTAAAATTTATTTATCCAATATCATCAGCAAAAGAATTCCACAGAATTGAATGTTCTCAGATAACCAAAGTTATACTTTTTCTGACAAATATTTATTCAATACTTTGTACAGATTCTATTTTAGGTGCTTGTTATGCAATGATGACTAAGACACAATTGCTAGCATCTTTGAACCTCAGAGCCATAAATAGGCACTTCTAAACCTTACATTCAGTTCTACAATGAGGGTTCATTATGAGAGCATTCAGAAGACCTTCAGGAGATGTGGGCAACTCATGTTTATAAAAAGGGAAAGAAATAGATTAAAATATTTCCAAAGAATATTGAATACTTTTCTATTTTCAGATAAAGAACATGTGGACAATAACCTTTCCAGTATGACTCACTATTTTATTAACACTTTAAAAATGGTAAATAAAGCATTACACAACATAAAAAGATAAAGATTCTTAAAGCTGTACATGTTTTCATATATTAGAGTTTTTATTTCTATCTGGGTTTGTAGGTTCCTTATCTCTATTCTAAATCCGTACTAATCACTCTACCTCTTTGAATTTTTCTGTTTATGTTTGATATTGAAAAATTTTGCAAATAAGGCAAAGACACAAATCAGGAGGGACTCTAGTCACAGAACTGACATAGTCTCTGGAGATGAAATGTATTAATCCTGTATTTGAAGGATCCTGAGAAGTCTGGGTTGGGAAGTGGCTCACAGGATCTTTAAAGTTTTCCTTAAAGCAGAGGTTTAGGAGTAGCTAGGTGTTAGTGTCAGGGCAGAGCATGGCAAATTTGAAAGCAGGTAATGCAAAGTAGCCACATTATACTGGCAGGCCCACAGACGTTCACTTCTTACTGCTAGATAGAAATTGTTTTAATAAATACATTACTTCTTTCCCTCAATGTACCCTTTCAAACAAATTAAATGGAAAATCAGTACACTGAATTCATTAAAATAATAACCAAAACAAAAGTAAAGAGGCCTTTAGAGAATGCCTGAGTGCACTATCTATCTGTGAGTAAATCTATGTAGAGCCTGAGCATTGTGCTTTTAATTTAGGTACTCTTCATTTTTGTTTGTTTTTCAATTAATAGACTTTGTTTTTTAGAGTATTTTGGGTTTACAAAAATACTAAGCAGAAAGTACACAGTTCCCAAATATCCTCTGTCTCCCAAGCCTCCTATTACTGTGGAACATTTGTTACACCTGATAGATTGTGGAACATTTGTTACACTTGCATTACTGTGGAACATTTGTTACACCTGATAGAACAATAATGACACATAAAATCCATAGTTTACATTGGGGTTCACTCTTTGTGTTGTATATTTGATGGGCTTTGACAATGCATAATGAGGTATATCCATCATGATAGTATCATACAGGATGGTTTCACTACTCTAAAATCCCCTATGTGCCACCTCTTCATCCCTCCTTCCCTCCCTCTCTCCCCAAAAACCCCTGACAGCAACCACTGATCTTTTTACTGTCTCATAGTTCTGCCTTTTCAAGATTGTCATAGCACTGGGCTCGTATGTTTGTTTGTTTTGACTGTTTATCTAATTCCCTGCTTAAGGTTTGTTCCAGATGATCCACATAAGTGAACTTTATAGACTCTTTACCTTATACCTTTCAATGACCTTTCCTGCTTATTTTAGATATAGATATAGATGAAGAATCTTTTCTGGTTTTCTAAAATTTAATATATTTTTGTCTAAGTTAGCTGTGAGCAAACCTCACAATATGTATAGTGTACTCCTTGCAATATTACCTTGCATTAATATAGTGCTTAAAATTTACAATAACCATTTTCACACACATGTACTAATTCTTACTGGACCACATTCTTACTTGAAGTAGCTAGAGTGGTCATTGCCCAATTCCCAACAGTTGTTGGGGTGTCCTGTTTAGAAGGGGGATTAAGAAGTGAAGCCACCTGGACTTCCTGGGTCGAGTGGGGACTTGGAGAACTTTTCTCTCTAGCTAGAGGATTGTAAACACACCAATCAGCACTCTGTAAAAACGCACCAAACAGCACTCTGTGTCTAGCTAAAGGATTGTAAGTACACCAATCAGCACTCTGTAAAAATGCACCAATCAGCACTCCGTGTCTAGCTAAAGGATTGTAAATGCACTAATCAGCACTCTGTAAAAACACGCCAATCAGCTCTCTGTGTATACCTAAAGGATTGTAAATGCACCAATAAGCACCAAGAACAAAGCTTCCACAGTGTGGAAGGGGATCCAAGCGGGTTGCTGCTGCTGGCTGGGGTGGCCAGCTTTTATTCCCTTATCTGTCCCCACCCACATCCTGCTGATCAGTCCATTTTGTAGAGTACTGATTGGTCCATTTTACAGAGTGTTGATTGGTCCATTTTGCAGAGTGCTGATTGGTGCGTTTACAATTCTTTAGCTAGATACAGAGTGCTGATTGGTGCATTTTTACAGAGTGCTGATTGGTGCATTTACAATCCTTTAGCTAGACACAGAGTGCTGATTGGTGCATTTTTACAGAGTGATGATTGGTGCATTTACAATCCTTATATTATTCCATACTCACATCTGAAAATATATATGCATAGAGTCTGTTTTTCTTCACTAGAGTCAGCACCATAATCACATTTTAAATTTTAATAATAAATATCAGAAAGATCTTGAATAAACTTGCTGTAAAGACACATCTGCTGCTGTTGGCATAGATAATTTGAACAATCAATATTACTCTTCACAGCAATAACAAAAGCAATCCTGTACTTTGAAATGTATCCTACAAGAATAATTCAACTCTCTGCAGTATAATCTACAATAGCAATAATAGAAAACAACATAAACTTCTGAAACAGGGAAATGACTTAGAAAATTGTGATAAAATGTGTGGCTGTTAAATATAAAAAGAATATGTAGAAACATGAATATGCTATAAGTGAAAAGAAAAGAATACAGAGGGATATACAGAATGATTGAACTTAGGTAAAAACATGTATGATTATGAACAAACTATGAAAAAGGAGGGATTAAATAGTGGAACAGAAATTGGGTTTAGCAGGCCTTCCCAAATCTACTGGAGCGAGGCACTGTTGTAAAAAGGCTTGAACAAACCTGCACTCTGGGGTAGTTCTTCTCCAAATCCCCAGGGATGGTGGAATTAAAACCTAGAGAGATTGTCTCCTCCTAGTGTAGCACCTGATAACATTGAACCCTTTTTCACCGTAGAAACTTTTAGAATTTTCCTCTTTATTTTTGTGCTTTTTGAATTTAATTATAAAATATATAGGTGTGTTTTTTCCTTTTTTTCTGGAAAATTTATTATTACTTTTTTGACCATTTTCTCTCTCCCATTTTTTCCTTCTTCTAATATTGTTTCTACAACTCCATTTTAATCCACTGTATCTTTTAGTTGTACTTTTGTATTTATTTATCCTAGATCCAGCCTGTCTGAATCTAGAAAGTCAATCTGATCTTCTAGCTCTTGAATTTATTCTTCAGTGACATCTATCTATGACTGTATCTATCTACCTACCCTAACTATTACTGTATTTCTTTCAATTATCTTATTTTCTGCACCTATTATTTCCTCTCATTTTTAAAAATGTTTTCTGATTTTTGTTTTATATTGCTAATATATTTTATTCTCTTTTTGAGTTTAACTTTAATCCTTATTTTAAATTCTTATACCATGTGTTCCAATATGGTAACTTTGGGTGGTATATGTATTTGTTGTGTTAATTTTCATTGATGGTGGTTGTGGACCTCAGGATCTAGCTATTTTGGCCTGTGGTCCAGCATGATATATCAGGGCCCAAGGATGGTGGGGATAGTGTCTAAGTGTGTGTGTGTGTGTGTGTGTGTGTGTGTGTGTCTGCATGTGTACCTGTTTGTGAGAAGGCCTGAATATAAGGAGGAAAGCAACTGCCAGGGGAAATAGTGCAATGAGATAAGTGATTGAAGCAAAGTGAGAAGGCCATCTGAATTTAAGAGCTGAATAGCATATAGTGTTAGATCCTGGGTGGAGTGAGGAAGTTAACCAGACTGTGGTAGGGGCAGACAGAACATTTGATATAGACTGAACAGCCTGTATGTAACAGTGCCTAGGGTTGGATCCATTGTGAAGGGAGTAATGGCATCAATTGATTACATGCACGGGATCTAATTACCTAAGTAAATATATTCCATTTAATGAGAAGGTGATTTCTAACTGCTAGAGAAAAGACTTACAAACATGGAAAGATAAATAAAACTCGGTGTTGATATGTTTTCATGGTTTTATATGTGTATATATATAATTTGTTTTAATTATATTTATA